GCAGCTCTGCCAGTGGCCTGATTTCTTTTTGTCATGCTGGCCACCTGTTTGGGTTCAGCCACAGCCTGTATTAGGGCCATTATTTTGGTGGCATATTTTTTTTTTTTTTTTTGAGACAGAGTCTCACTGTGTTGCCCGGGCTAGAGTGCCGTGGCGTCATCCTAGCTCACAGCAACCTCAAACTCCTGGGCTCAAGCGATTCTCCTGCCTCAGCCTCCCGAGTAGCTGGGACTACAGGCATGCGCCACTATGCCCGGCTAATTTTTTTCTATATATTTTTAGTTGTCCAATTAATTTCTTTCTAACTTTTTATGCAAAGAGCTAGATGAAGCAAGAAAGTCAGGCTGGTCTTGAACTCCTGAGCTCCAACAATCCGCCCGCCTCGGCCTCCCAGAGAGCTAGGATTACAGGCGTGAGCCACCGCGCCCGGCCTTGGTGGCATATTTAATATCCTTATTTCCTGCTGTCAGGAGACCCCTTTCCTTCCAAATGGCACCATGAACATGGGCAATTGTAAAAACATATTTAGTTATCCTTTTCCCTCTGGATAACTGAAGAGTTCTGGTTAAAGCAATCAGCTCAGCTTTTTGCGCTAAAGTCCCAGGTAACAGTGCCATGATCGTGACTTGCAGTACTGCTCAGTGGCTCTGACAAATATGTCACAGGCCATGGGATGTCTCTCAGTATCTATACCCAGGCTCCAAGGCTTATGCCTTGTTTTTTGCATCATTTAAATTCTTTCTATGAGTCAGGCAACCCCGAAGTGGGGCAGTCATAAGGCTCTGCTTTAGTTTTTCAAAGGTATTTTGACAGCCTGTGGCCCAGATCAGGGGCTTCACATCTCTCCCTTTAAGGGCCCTGTACAAGGGCTTTGCGATCTGTTTTCAGATGCGATAGAACCCTGCCATTCTTAGGGACCTTAGATAAGTAACCTGTTGTTTGCAAATCTGTCCAATTGCAGGCTTCACAAGTCCCCTGTTAAGCTCCCATCACATAGGGCGGGAGAGCCCTTTTAAAGCTCTTAACACAATCCAGCAGCCTCAAGAGGCCATCCCAGTCCCCAGATCCTGCCACCCAAATGTAATTGGGTATCATTCATAGTCATTTGTACAATATCATTAGTGGCACATCAATCCTCACATATCCATACTGATTGGTATGGAGAACTTAAATTGTCTCTGTATGTCCCAGAGTCCCAAGAAGGTGACATTTCAGATGACCTTTGGATTGGCCTTCAGAGAAGGAAGATAATTCAGTCAGGGAGAATGACAGAAGCCCAGTCAAGAGACGTAAAATGTATGACTAGAACAAATACTACATGATGAGAAATGGTGGAAGATGCAGCTCTTCTTCCATTAACCAGCAACTAAATAGAACTAAGGAGTTCTCTCTCTACATTTGGTGACAAGGGTAAGACATCTGGGCCCTTAGCAGCAGCAAAAAGGGTTTGAAAGAAAAGTAAAGATGTTTTTAGGCCGGGCACGGTGGCTCCCGCCTGTAATCCTAGCACTCTGGGAGGCTGAGGCGGGCGGATTGTTTGAGCTCAGGAGTTCGAAACCAGCCTGAGCAAGAGCGAGACCCCGTCTCTACTAAAAATGGAAAGAAATTAATCAGACAACTAAAAATATATAGAAAAAATTAGCCGGGCATGATGGCAGCTACTTGGGAGGCTGAGGCAGAAGGATTGCTTGAGCCCAGGAGTTTGAGGTTGCTGTGAGCTAGGCTGATGCCACGGCACTCTTGCCCAGGCAACACAGGTGAGACTCTGTCTCAAAAAAAAAAAAAAGATGTTTTTAAAAAGGTGATTTTTTTTAACTTAAAAAAATATGTCATGGAGCTACTCTGGGGATATGAGCTATAATTTTCTCACTTAAGAACAGTGTGAAGTTAAAACGCCTCATCTGGCCTTTTCTGGAATGCCGCTAGAAAATACTAACTGTCGTCACTCTGACCTGTCTATACAAGGTGCTTTCAATGGCAAGCCTCCTGAAATCGATCCTTATCACTTGCTGTCAGCACATTACTTCAAGTTAAATGATTTAAAAATCCCTCTCTATCCTAAGCCATGCTTTTGAAATAAGATGTATTTTCTATATATTTTTAAGAATGAGAAGTTCATGACCCTGGTTCATGGGTGGTTATTGTGTAGCTTAAATGAGATTGGTTTGGGAGCCAGGAGTAAATGTTCCATGTTCTTAGTCTCAGCTTTTTTCCCCCACGTTTTTCATTCTTTGCTCCTTAAATCACATTGTTTCCTGAACACACATGTGTTAGGAAACAGACCCATACTCTGTTCTAGGGGCCCCATAATCAGGTGAGGCATTCACACAAATAATCACCATACAGGGGAAGTGCCAGTTTAGTGTGTGCAGTGTGTGTGTACATTTAGAAGGTGAGAAGGCTAAACCAAGCCTGAGTTTCGTCGTGGAAGGGGCTAGAAGGAGCAGGCAGTGGTTGCTAGCTTGTTCAGAGGAGGTCTGGCTTCTGTTAGCCATCGGGAGCCAGCAACCTTTTTACCTTAATATTCTTCAGTCAGGCATTATCCAAAGAAGTGAAAAAGACATGTATTTATTTATTTATTCAGCAAATATTCATAGCCACCTACTAGTGCATGGTGCTGAGTAAGAACATGAGGAAGAGCAGGGAAGCATGAGAGAGCATGGCTCACCTTGGCAGTTGCAGGTGGCTTGGCGTGGCTGGAGTTAAATACACTCTCAGTTTTTCTCAAAACGAACAAGACAAACTAAAACCTGAGTGGGATAAGGAGGAAGTACTCTAGGGAGAAGTTATGAGTTGCTGAGAATTTATCACTTCTTTTCAAGATTAGTAAGGATGAACCAGATGTTTCTTTAAAAAAGCCGAGCAACTTCCTTTAGGGAATTGCCAAACTGACTAATGCATTACCTTAGGGCAGTTGGTCCCAAACTTTGCTGCCAACTAGAATCACCTTTGGAGTTTTTGAAAAGTCAGATGCCCAGGTCACACCTCATATCAGTGACATCAGAATGTCTGGGCGTGGGAGCCAGGCATCAGTAGTCTAAAGATCCTCACGTGATTACAATGGGCAGCAGAGTTATGGAACTACTGCCTTAGGGCATCGTCCAATTTCTTCAGTATAAAACACACTCTTTTTCTTGTTCTGGTTCTAAACTTTCCTTAAATTGTTTTTGTCCTGTAGTTGGGTTGCGGGCGGCTATGAGCAGGCAGAGGATGTGGTGTCACCCAATTAGGAGCTCTCACTTTGCTAAACCGATGGGCATAGGTTGCCAGGGCTGCACGAGGAGTGGATTTTTGCTTTGTCATTCTGACTCTGGCAGTTTGCCCGCCCCCTCAGAGCAGGGCGTGGCTTCTCGTAGCCATTAGGAACCAGCAACTCTTTCACCTCGGTTTCCTTCAGTCCGGCATTTGCAGCCGAGCAGAACGTGGAGGGACCCCTGCAGATCCTGATGGCTTCATCTTCCTCGCATTCATGTAAGCTCTGCCTCAGGTGAAAACAGCTGCGAGCCTTAGGCTGGGAGCACGCCAGGGACGGTTTGCCGGTAGGGGACGAGACCATTGCGCCTGAGAGGTGCAAGAGGAATCCAGAGGAAGGGGTGATGTTTTAAGGCGTGTCTGAGCAAGGGAGTGAGACTTTTCTAAACTGATTGAGCTTCTTGGCAGCATGAGCGTTTCCCCCGGTCACATAAAGCTTCAGCTTGTGGTAGGCGAGGCCGGCCCCCTGTCGGCTGGTGGTTTCCTTCCTCTTGCTCTTTATGGAGACATTTTGCAGAATGTCTGAGAAGATTGATTTTTGAATCACTTCTTAGAGCATGAGTCTTGAAATGTAAATGACAATGTGCTGAATAGATTGACAGATCCTTGACAGTATTGGAAAGTATAAGCGTATAAGAATGCCTTTCCAGGAATTTTCACACCATTTGATCCTGAGAAATCCTGAGAGGTTGGCAAAGTATGTGTCATTTCCATGTTTTACAAGTGGGGAAAGCAAGGCTTGGTAAAATAGCTTGCCCAGTGACACAGGCTGTTAAATGGGGCAGCTAAAGCCAGAACCCAGTGCTTACCTCACTACATTGGGCAGTAGAGGGTGGCTTAGAGTATAGACCACACTGTCTGGGTTTGAGTCCTGCCTCTGCTGTTGATTAGCTGCTTGACCTTGGGCAAGTTACTTAGAGTTTCTGTGCCTCAGTTTCCCTGTCTGAAGTGGACTTGGTAATACTTATAAAGGGTAGTTGTGAAGATTAATTATAAATATATGCAAAGAAGTGTAGAAATGTTAGCTGCTATTGTCATTACTATTAAACAACTATACTTTCGAGTGTTGGTGTGATTTTTGTCTCATGAATGGTCCTGGTGTCAGTGTGGAGTCTGATTTTCATTGTGTCACTGACTCATTCTCTACTGTGTTAACCCCTTTGTGAAACTGGACCATTAGTTCCCGGTCTCATCTAGAGTGTTGCATATTGCTTCAGGATTCTTTTTTAAAAGCACCCTAAGTTGGCAGAGTGTTCTTAATTTTGCTCCATGGTTTCAAATTTAAAGGAAACATTGGAAGTTGGATTTTGGCATTTTGTATAGATGCAGAATTCAAAGCAAGATCAAATAGGGAGGTATTTTGTGGAAGCTGAGATACTTGTGTCTTAAGCTATTTTTATTTTGAAGCTTTTCTGAATTCTGTGTTTCCTGGGAAAGTAGGACGTTTAATTTTAGCGGAGTCTTGCAGTGATTTAACTCTGACCGGAACTCTGACGTTTATAGCTAGCCTTGAGGCCCTGTTTCTGCTGGTGCGCAGATTTGTCGGGGCTAGAGTCCAAGCCAAGCCCGATTGTGGGTTTTAGTCATTGTCAGAAACGGAGCAAGTCATGCTAACTTGCAAAGGAGTCACCGGCGGGCAGTGTCAGTGGCTGCAGGGCGGGGACGGAAGCCCCGCCCCTGCGCAGTTCCCGCCGGGCCGTCTGGGAGGAAGACCTTACATGCTCCTCTCTGCTTTTGTGCCACAGAAGACCGCCCCGGCCTGGAAGCAGCGCTCTCGGAATTGACCCCGGAGGCCGACGTGCCGGTTGTGTTTGTGAAACAGAGAAAGATAGGCGGCCATGGCTCGATCCTGAAGGTAAGATAAGTAACGTGTCTTTTAAACTGGGAGTGAGCTCATCGAGGCCGGCGTGCTGGCAGCCTTCCTTTTAAAGCCCGCGTGGATGTGAATGAGCCCCAAATGGAGCACAGCGTTAGAAAATGACCGGAAACGCTTATGTGCTAGCTCACGTGCTAATCAGAGTTGATCAGACGATGGGCAAATATCACAGTTGGGAAGCTTGAAAGGAAATTTTTAACTATTTTCATCTTTTAAAAAATGTTCTTTTCCTTCCTATATTACCTTCCTCTTTCCCTCCCAGAAAGGTAAATAAAAATTTCTAGTAGCAATGTAATTGTTAAATGTTACTTGTTTAGGGAAATACTAAGAAAAGGGATCAGGAAATGCTTATCTTCGCCAAGTGGGCCCTGTCTTCTTCCTCTAATTTTCTGAGGGGTGCGGGACCAAAAAACCCCAGGCTCTAAGGAGAGCACCCAGGGAGCTTCCTTCACATGTCTCTTTTTCTAGCCCAGAGTTAACAATTGGGTGGAGGGGAAAAAAGAAAAGAAATCTTCCCTTTGGCTGGTGGCAGACATGGTGGAAGTCCTTCCTTGGGACTGCACCTGCAGTATTGTAAAAATGCTGGGAGGCTAGGTGCATGTTTAATAGGATAGGACAACCTGGATGATGCTCTACATCACGTGTAGTTGATCACCAGCTTCCATAAGCCCATCACCTTGATCCATCTGAGTTTTGCAGATAATATATTTGTCCTTATCCACTTACATCTGTGTAATTTTTAAGAAGTGAAACTCATACTTGAACATTGCTATCTTAGAAGTAAAGCTGAGGCCTGGGTTAAACGTAAAAATATATTTAGATGTGTGCACCTTAGGAAGGATATTAACAGTTAGTTTGCATCTTTATTTACTACCTTTTCTTCTAGAAGTATTTATCTTTTTGAAGAATGGTTATTGGAAATGGAGCTAGACTTCAAAGACAAATAGCAAATTAATGGAAAAATAATTAAAGGGGATACAAAGGCTTTTAGCTGTAGTTAAAGTATATTGTGTTACTCAGACCTTTAGTTTGCAAGTAAAATGAGACAAAGGTCTATTAATATTCCTTCCTGTCTGATTATTCTGTTCTCTTCACCTGTGTTGTAAATTTACATTTTAAAAGTTATATGGGCATTTGATCTTTATGTAATGCTACTGATGTTCCTGGTTTTAACGGTAATGGGAATAAAAAGAGTTACTCTTTTTATAAGCTTTGGATTTCACTTTATTGAGAAAATGTGATGTTTTCAATTCCATATGATCATAGATAATTTCGGGCATTTAGTGAGGTACAGTGCCATGAATGAAAAGTGAACCAATGAGATGTGCTTAAAATCAATCATTTAGCACATCTCTTAAGTCAACTTATTCTACTCGGTATCATTTGATTTATTTTTGGTTTTTAATGAGTGCTAAGAAATGGAAGAAGAGTCAGAACAAGGTAAAGGCTATTGGTTTGAAAAGTTTGTGACTCTTTAGCCAATTGTTGCCCACATTTAAGGCTAAATGGTGGATTTTGAAAATCTTCAGGGAACAGTGGGTTTGAGTGGAGAAAGGCATTTATTTAGTGGAGAACTGAGTGTGAGTGGAGTTAGTGTTATAATTCTACAGCCCACACCTTTAAAAAAAGGTTAAGGTTTCATACTTTAATTGCAAGGTAAATAATGGAAGTGGACCTCTTTAAAATGTCCTTTTCCTTTCTCCTCTTGTATTATTTCTTCCTGTGTTTCCTCTTTCCCCTAGTAAACAACAACAGCAAAACCTATTTTGCTTTCCCTTGTCTATAGAAGACTGGAAGGAACTGGTGAGCCTAAAGGAAGAAGGCTTTCCAAAAGAGTGTTTCAAAAAGGTGTAGTCTACAGACCACCTGCGCAGAATCCCCTAGAGTGCTTCTGATACAAGCATGCCTAGGCTCTACCCGAGTTCTTCTGAAGTAGACCCTCTGAAAGGGGCTAGAAATCTGCCTTTTTGGCCTTTTTTTTTTTCCCCCAATAAGCTCCCTCAGGTAATTCATAGGATGAATATCAAGTTTGAGACTATTTTAAAGTGTAAGGTAGTTTGGTCAAGATCAACTCATAAAATAATTAGAATTGGGGAAAACAAAGGACTACTGTTTAATATCTAAAAGATATTAGTTAGAAAACAGCAAATGGTATCTCAGCAGGGAAGTAACACTTTATGTTGAACACTTTAACACTGAATAGAAAAATAGGGACATATGCTTTTTTTTTTTAATCAACACCTGTGAAAGGAGGGAAATATGCTGTTTGTGGCCAGATCTTGTAGGTCCATGTGTAACATTGGAAGTAGGGAGCTACTAAACTCTAAGAACCTATGAATAAAGTTTCTACTGCTCAAAGACATCTGGCTTTCATAAACAACTTGGTTCTTCTTATAGAGAACCTGTCTTGCATATAAGTCAGTGTCTCTGAGATTCCAGAGTTTTGAAACAACTTGTGTAAATACCTGTTGGTGGTACTGAGAGGAAAAGCAAAGTGAATGAAAAAGTACTTACTGGAATACTAAGTGTTAGACATAGTTAAGACTTCGGTAGTTTGAAATCTTTAGTAGTTTGAATGTTGGGAGATAAAACTGGCAACTCAGTGTTTAAATAATTTCTTCAGGGCAATAATAGGAGAGGTGACAGACACAAAACAATGCATGATTTACATCCAGGTGAATTAATGCAGATAGTTTCGGTAGGAGCTGAGTTGCTGTCATGCTGTAGTCAGGCTTGGTGGCCCCATGTTCCAGAAGGCTTGGTGGGTAGACACTGAAACAAAGGCAGGTCTCCTTCAAGCCTAACTTCTAAAGTTACCAGAAACTAGACTCTTTACTGAATAGACATCAGGAAATGAGTAGTAATTGAATAACTCTTCCAATTGTCTTTCTTACTACTCTACCAAACTACCAAAACTTGACAGGAAACTCAGTTTCTTTTGTTTCTTTGCTCTGAGAGAATCCCTTCTCCTTGGGTGGATTAGTAGTGTATTTGCTTTTGGCCTGTGTAAGGTTGAGGCCTGAGGCAGATTGGAGGATTGCTTTGAAGATGAGGGAAGTAAACAGGTTTTCTGGCTTATGTTAGAAGGTAAGAGATAAGGGCTACCAAGGTTTAAATGAAGCATAGATTGTTAGGATTGCAAATAAATTTATCTGGTGCTGATTATAGTAGAATTTTACTGATTATGAATCCATGTTAACACTTAATGCCCCTCCTCTCACTTCTACTAACTAACAACACAAACAAACATCTTTTTTTGGTGTGTATCTGTTCTTTTACAGTAGCATCGCTATTCTGGTGATCCACGCTTCAGATTTCTTCTCTCTTCTCCTATTTACTTACCAGGGCCTGACTGTTTAGGCATCAGCCTGCTGCCTCTATTTACTCTCTTATCTGGACTAGGGTACTCATTTCCTCTTGCCTAAACCATCTCAACAATCTCTAACTGGCCTCCCACTTCCAATCTCCCTCCTCTTCCAGTTCATCTACTTCCAGGGTCATCTTCCTGATTGCTACTTGACTGCCTCCAGATCTGAATCCAGGATAAAGTGCCCACTCTGTAGCTGGGTATTCAGTGCCCTCTGGGTCTGGCCCTAACCTGCTTTTCTGGTTATCTCCTGCTCTGTTCCTTCATTCACTGGAATCTCCTGGGAATACTGTTGGAGCTGTCATCCCTAAAATTTTCCTCTTCTGTTCTATTCTTTCAATTCCTGTCTTCTCTTCCTGCCGAAACCCACTTTTCCAGCTGTTCGGAGTACAAGGTCAGATTTGGCCATTCCTTTCCTCCTTTGTGCTTCCACCACGCTCCCACAAATGCTTATCTTTGGGAAAGGAGGAATCCTGCCAGTGATAATTTTTTGCTTTACATATTGAGGTTGGAGAGCTAGTCTTAAACTTTGAGCCTGTGGTCCCAGGAATATGTTTGAGCCCAGCAGATACCTATGTGAACCTGCCCATTAGTAACTACCATTTATCAAATGCCTGTTATACTTAGTTGTAATACTTAGTTGGTTAAATCCTCACAGTGGTCCTATGAAGGAGGTGGTATTTTCCAGTTTTACAGACAGGGACCCAGGCCTGCTTGTCTGCAAAGCTCACTGTGGTGTACTCATACTTATGGCACTTGCCTTTGTGTTGTCACTATTGAGATACTTGCCTGTCTCCTTGATGCCATTGTGTGTTCATGATTCAGGGTCAAGCCCATGCAAATCTTGGTATTCCTAGCATAGTGCTGGCATATAGTAGGCATTCATTCATTAAATGCTTGCTGAATGGAACTGCATTCCTTCGTACCTACTAAATTGTAGGTTCCTTTAGGAGAAGAATGATATATTTTTGTATTTCCATGTGTTTTTTAATACCTAGCATGCATTTGGTAAATATTAATATTTGTCGAGTGGATGGCTGGTGCTAGGGTCAGAAGAGACTCACTTAAGTGAAGGATTTAGCTGTAGGATGTCTGATTTATTGAAGATAGGCTGACTATCAGGGACCAAGATCTAAGTTGTTCAGAAGTGGTTCTAGGCAGCCTATTATAAAGCAGTTTAGAGTTTTAAAAGCTATATGATAGCAACATTGTCTGCTTTCAGCATTTTATGCAAGTGTGTCAAAGTTGGTTGGGAAGAAAGTCACATCATGTCTAGTTAGCTACTATTTATTAAGTGTTGTTGACGTTAGGCTAGGCACTATCTTTGTTATCTCTACCACAAGTCTATAGGGCAATGTATATGTTTAAAAATACATGTCGATAAATGTTTATACATGATTTTTAAAAAATGGTCACAACCACTCTATGGCAGAGTGAGACATTCAATAGACTCATATTACAAACTAAGTGGAAACTAATAAAGCAGACGTTTTTGGTTTGAACCCAGGCCTCCAGAGCTGGGTTCCAACACTGCTTCTTTGAATAGCTCATACCTAGTGTTTTCCTACTCTCCCAGTCTATTAAAATGATGTTTCTGGTCATTGCAGACTTCTGAGGTGTTGTTGAGGCTCTTGTAACCTGAAAGGTTCTAGTCTCTTCATCTCACAGCTTTGTTTATATTCTTGAGGCTTGGCAAGTCAGCCAGTACTGGGGTTTCTAAGTGTCATTAAATGTATGACTTGACCACAGAGCAAGGGTGGAGCTTATATATACTTTAAAGTATTTCAATGTGTGAGTCCAAATTATTTAGTGGGACTTGACTTTCATTTTATCTTTAACTTCAGTAATATTAATGCCATCTTATTTGAATAGAGCTGTTACTCATAGCCTCTTTTGAATACTGGACTTTTTAAAGAATCTGCTGAAATCCAAGGAACCAATCATGAGAAAAATGCACTTAAATAAATTTGCATATACATTCAGATTACTTGCTTCAGACTATCTGATAGAGAGATTTACCCTTCAGAGTATACTATATACACTTTGATTTGTCGTAACCTTAGATTTTTTTATTTTATTATATGGCATATTTCTTTTCACTGGCATTTGTTATAGTGGAATATTATTCCTGTATTCCTCCTGATTTAACTTTTAAAAATACTTGTTTGTTCCGAAGGCAATATCCAGAAGTGAAACTAGTGGTTTGTGTATGGTTTTTTTTTTTTTACATGTTCTATCTTTGGGATAGTTTATGATTTACTAAGTACCTGTTCAATAGCTGAAAACTGTCAGGTCCATTACATAATTCTCATTCAATATAGTTAATTGTATGATGTACAGTTGTCCCTCCGTATACTTGGGGGATTGGTTCCAGGATCCCTGAGTATACCCAAATCCATGCATAGTCAAGTCCAGAAGTCATCCCTGCAAAACCCGTCTATATGAAGTCTGTTCTCTGTATTCCAGGGTTTCACATCCGGCAAATACTATATTTTTGCTCCTCATTTGGTATAAATGGACCCGTACAGTCCAAATCTGTGTTTTTCAAGGGCCCAGTCTAGTAGTATACCATCTCTCAAATGAGGACACCGGAGGCTGAGAGGTTAAGCAAGATTCCTGAGATAATATTAATATTGATAGCTAATAGATCAAGATTGGAACCCAGATTTGTCTTCTCTCACAGTCCATGGTCTTTTTAGAAACTCATTTAAAAACACAGATATCTGTCTTGATTGTAGCAAAATTTACCTTTAATATTAAAAATACTAAAAAACCTAAAAAAAAGCAAAATCAAAAGCAAAAATATATACACAACATAGCTTTAAAGAAAACTAAGATGAAAGTGGAACTATATCTGATACCTTGGTACTCTGGCAAATCAAACTAGGACTTTTAGAACATTTCTTCAAAGCTCAGTATTAAACAGATATCCTGGTGGTATGAGCAGAGATAAGCTACTATGAAAGAAGGAACAGTAAAGTTTGGGGAGGTAGCTGATAGCAGGAGAAGTATATCTCTTAGAGTGTGGTGCTCAAATGTGACTGGTTCCTGGCTTTTGGTATAGATTAGTCATGTAGTAAAAACCCCATTGGAAAAGAACAGTGGACCCTACTATGAAAGTTCTTTTCCTTCTTTGGCCATAGAGAGGCCTGTAACTTTTGTCATCCAGCCTGTCATGTTTGTGTTGAGCAGGAGGGGTTGTAGAAAGAACTTAAGAATGCTTAGATTTAATGCGAACTGCAAGAAAAGGGACTGAAAAATAATATAGGTGAATAGGAGAAAGGAAATGGAAGGTTATATTGAGCCCTGGGCAGCAACTCTTGAGAGAAGAAAGAGGAAAAAAAGGGGGAAAAAGGAGCTAAATTATCTCTGAGGCCAATTTATGTCTCTTGGTTGCCTGGACTAGTCTTGCTGCAGGAAGAAGATAAACCTTGGTGATTTCTTTGAGGTACCAATATACTTTTGCTTTCTATTCC